CGCGTTCGGCACAAAAGTATTGCCGAACCTAGACGAGTTATACATCTCCATCTTCCCAACCGGGGCATTATATTGAGGCATATGAACTTGCCTCATAGTCAGACCAGCATTCAACCTAGCATTGGGCTTCATTTTTTCACGCAGCTTCTCAGCTTTGTAATTCTTCATTATTTCAGACTCCTCGAAAGCCTTAGCCGCTGCTCTGTCGAAGACAGCACTGCATCGAGGACACAACATGACCTCTTTATCAGCTTCTTTTTTCTTCGATAAAAATTCCACCAGACTATCTCCTTCCTTTGGGTATATGGGTTCTTGCTCTTTAGCAAAATCCTCCATTAACTCTTCGAGCTTCTCATCAGAAATGGGCTCAATGCTATCATCGTCCTCAGCAGCGACTTCCACCATGTTGATGGACATCGAAACTGGTTCAACATAGCCAGTATGGGCAGCAAATGGGTCAACATCCACTTTCATTTCCTTCTCTTCAAAAGCCAGGCGACCATCAGTAATCGCCTTCTCGATGAAATCCCTGAAACGCACACAACTGTTAGTCCAATGTCCATACATATTATGATATTTGCAGAATTTCTTTCCTTTTCTTTGCTCGAAAGGTGGAATTTTATGATTCTCTGGGAGTATAATCTGTTTATCTTTTAACAAAGTATCGAATATCTTTTCTGCCTTACTAACGTCAAAACTATATTTTTTAGTCGAATTCCCTTCTATATTACCTCCTGGTTTTAGCATTTGACATTGGTACGTAGGTCCAGGGCGCAATTCTGCCAAATTAATCTCGAAATCTTCACTTACAACTTCATAATTAGAATCCTCATTTAACTCAGAACTTTCTAAATACGCTATCTTTTCTTTTCGAACGAACTTGTCGAATTTCATCAACTTTTCCTTTTCTAATTTAATTTGTTCAATCCTCCTCACTTTCTCAGCAAGTTGAGCCATGTCCCTCAATTGTTCGTTTACTAATTTTTTGCGTATTGAGAAGTCTAAACCTGTTGCGGCGATTCTAACCAATTCATGTTCTGGAATATTAGTATAGCATCGAGATTTTAATTGCCTAAACCTATTTAAATAGTCATCTAATGTTTCATTACTTTGCCTTTTGATATTCATTAGATCGACTATACTAACCTTTGTTTCCTCTCGAAAGAAATGCTCATGAAAGCTACCTTCTAGCTGTACCCAAGTATGTATCGAATTAGGAGGCAGGGTAGTAAACCAGGTAAAAGCATGTTTAGTCAACGAACTTGGGAAATATTTCATTTTCAAGTATTCATTATTAGCCAAATCCCCACATTCGACCCCATACCTAGCTATGTGTTCAACTGTTGACTCAGTTATATCTCCTGCAAATTTCGAGAATTTTGGGACTTTCATTCCACGGGGTAATTCTACTTGTGTAATATAATCTGGAAAGGCTGACACAAAGTATGGGCGTTCATTCCGACCTACATCAAATCCATGTCTATTCAATATCCTTTCTACCATTTGATCTAAATTATCATTAGGGTTCCTGTTAGGTCGAACTATGTTTTGCAAATTTCCATGCCCCCCAGGGTTTTCTGTATCGTTCAGATTCACACTCATTGCTCTCGAAGGAGTCCCATTACCCAACTTATCTCCTATTTTGTTTATTAGCTCGTAAAGGGGTGTCATGATGTTGTGCATCTGAGTAGACAACAAATTGACCATGTCATGATTACTATGGTCCATTTGTTGTCGAAGGGCCATCATTGCTTGATTACTAATACCCGTGGGCATGTAACTACCTTGTCGAATTAATGAACCCTCCTGACTTGTTCCTACATGCTGATACGGGTCTTGCATAACAAAACCCATGCCATTCGGCCCAGGATTATAACCCTGTGGGGATACATGCATTTGTGAATTGGGTCCTATTAGCGGTATTGGCATTTCGACATGCACAGGTTGGGTATTTCGCCAATTCTGTGGCATACCCCAGGGATACTCTCTAGTAACATTTACCAACTCTTGAGTGGTATTATTATGCCTAGCATGGTTTTCAAGCAACACAGGAGGAGATCTTGCCCCCCTGGTCACATTGGTAGCATTATCAAGATTGGAGTTAGGCTGTTCTACATCTACATTATTATGGTTTACGTTCATGTTATCAGACGTAGACATAGTTCTTCCACTCCTTAATCTCATGCAATTCACACACCTAAAACTAGTCCAATTATGTTCTAAATTAAACGGGTCCCACCGGGCGTGCCAATGTGTTTACGGTGGAATTAACCATCAAATCCTGGGTTCTTTTTATTTAGACTAGCATACGAACGTATTTCAATTTAGGTGCCTTACTGTGTGTTATCGTGTTACCGAGAATGGAGAGTAGGATGAAAAAGTCTTAGCAACTACTTGTTTCGAAATGTTCTTCTATTACTACTAACAAGCAATGCTCATGCAAGCAAATAATAATATGAACAGAGTGAACAATATATATGTTAGCAATGCAAATCATAGTTCATTTCGTACAATGATCAAATTACGTTACACATGCGAACATATTGATCCAAGTATATGAATACACTACGTAATTAAACAAAGAACAAGAAGACTATTCTACTTCTACTCCTAAAAAGAAAAAAAAAGTGGCCGAGAGTCAGTCATACCCAAAAACGATCTTGTGCACGAAAGCCATATGTGTGTGTAGGCAGAGAGTGCTTCAGAGTCCAATTCTAGTATGAGTTTTTCGACCCCAGTAAAGGTCCGTACTCCTTGTATTTATAGAGCAATCAAGGGCGGTTAATTCTGTACATGTACGCTTTTGACTCATAACCGCTATCCACTATATTTGCTACGTGGTCTTGACTCAACTTCCTTTAACCGCTCTTCCCACGTTCCTTGTTTTCTCGATTGATTTTTTAGTAACCGTTTTGGCTTAACCTCCATGTTCTGACGGTCTCAACTTTTCAACTATTTTCGAGCAACACTTGTTTTTTTCGAGTCCCATAATTTCATCATGTGTTGATTTTACTTCTCAGGCAGCGCTATCAATCTTTTCGAGTCACATGATTTTCGAGTATGCCTAACAGTACCTTATCCTCTTTTCCTTTCTCCCCAGCTTCTTTCTCCTTTTCTTTTAATGATTTTGCTCGAATGACCCTTTTTGATCAAATGCACAATTTTTATTCCCAAAACAAAATGATTTTCAGTATTATGACCATATGTTTTGTGAAACTCACACCATTCATTTTTATATGGTCTTGTTTGGCAATCAATAATAGTAACATGCGTTATTTATATCCCGCAAAACTTGTTTTCGAGTCACATTGAGTAAATTTCTCTTGTTCTTCATTTCTTCCCCGATTGATTATCTGCTGACTTCCATACCTCAAATTCTTGACATTCTACTCCCTTCTCAGAGTGTAATGTTCATTACTCTTGTTCCAATCAGTTTGAGGACATAAATGATTTTTCACTCCCTTGGTTTCTGGGACCAACTTTTGTCTTCTTCCG